GGCCCCTCTCACCTCCACAGCCCCGGGCTGGGGGTGCCGCAGCACCAGCACGTCGGCGTAGCAGCACATGGTCTGCACGGAGTCAGCCAGGGACTCGCCCTTCTGCACCGAGGAGGTGGCCTCGCAGAAGGACAGCACGGAGCCACCCAGGCGGCTCATGGCCGCGGCGAAGGAGCTGCTGGTCCGCGTGCTCACCTCGTAGAACATGCTGGCCATCACCTTACCCTGCAACGCCGGGTGTCACCTCAGGGAGCTGGGACAGGACACAGGGCTCCCTCGGGGACAGGGACACACCCGGCTCACCTTGAGGATGTCCAGGCTGCGCTCCTTCTGCACCAGCATGCGCAGGGTGTGCGCCACGTTGAACAGGTGGGACAGCTGCGGGGACAGGAGGTGGCACGGGGGTGGCACGGGGGTGTCAGGGGCTCAGCAGGGCACACGGGGGTCACTACAGCCGCCACAGCCCCCAGACCCACCTGCTCCTTGGAGAACTGCCGCACTGACAGGACGTGCTGCCCCACCAGGGGATGCAGCAACGGCGACGTCTGGAAGTGCGGGGAGCGCTGCGGGGACGGCTGGCGCGGGACGGGGACCGCGGGGTGGCAGTGGCTGTCCTGGAGCACGGCGGGGTCTGCGGCACCGAGAGAGCCCGTCAGAGATGGGGATGGGCCCAGAGAGCCCAACAGCAGCCATGGGCTCAGGTCCTCAATGTGGGTCTGTCCATGGCTGATGGGGATGGTCCAGAGAGCCCAACACCAGCCATGGTGGTCCCCAGTGTGGGTCAGTCCACGGGGATACCCCAAAGCCCAACAGCAGCCATGGGCTCGGGTGCCCACTGTGGGTCAGTCACAGGGACACCCCAAAGCCCAACACCAGCCATGGTGATCCCCAGTGTGGTCAGCCCATGGGATACCCCAAAGAGTCCAACCACAGCCATGACCCCACTGTGGGTCAGCCATGGGGATACCCCAAAGAGCCCAAAACCAGCCATGGTGGTCCCCAGTGTGGGTCAGTCACAGGGACACCCCAAACAGCCCAACCACAGCCATGGCCCCGTTCCCACTGTCGGTCAGCCCACGGGGATACCCCAAAGATGCCAAAACCAGCCATGGTGGTCCCCACTGTGGATCAGCCCATGGGGATACCCCAAACAGCCCAACCCCAGCCATGGCCCCATCCCCACTGTGGGTCAGTCACAGGGATACCCCAAAGATCCCAAAACCAGCCATGGGTTCCCAGTGTGGGTCACCCCACAGGATGGCCCAAAGAGCCCAACACCAGGCATGGTGATCCCCAGTGTGGGTCAGTCCATGGGGATACCCCAGAGAGCCCAACACCAGCCATGGTGGTCCCCAGTGTGGATCAGTCACAGGGACACCCCAAACAGCCCAACCACAGCCATGGCCCCGTTCCCACTGTGGGTCACCCCACGGGGATACCCCAAAGAGCCCAACCACAGCCATGGCCCCACTGTGAGTCAGCCACGGGGATACCCAGAGAGCCCAACACCAGCCATGGTGGTCCCCAGTGTGGGTCAGTCCATGGGGACACCCCAAAAAGCCCAACCACAGCCATGGCCCCACTGTGGTCAGCCCATGGGGATGGGCCCAGAGAGCCCAACAGCAGCCATGGGCTCAGGTCCTCACTGTGGGTCAGTCCACGGGGATACCCCAAAGAGTCCAACACCAGCCATGGTGATCCCCAGTGTGGGTCAGCCACGGGGATACCTCAGAGAGCCCAACCACAGCCATGGTGTCCCCAGTGTGGATCAGTCACAGGGACACCCCAAAGATCCCAAAACCAGCCATGGGTTCCCAGTGTGGTCACCCCACGGGGATACCCCAAAGCCCAACCCCAGCCATGGTGGTCCCAGTGTGGCCCCGCAGGCCCCTGCACTCACCCGACTCCAGCGCCTTCCTGCCGAGCTTGTCACGCGTGTCCTCGGCTGCCAGGAGAGGGGACAGTGGCATTAGGGGGTGTGGGGACACCCCGGGCCCTGCTCCCCTCCCAGTGAGCCCTCCTGGCCCGTGGCAACCCCAATCACCCCATGCCAGGGTGGTGGCCAGCCAGAGGCAGGGACTGCAAGCCCCACGTCGTG